TGAAGGTCAGTAATCTTATATCTCTGTCTCCTCAGAGCTTGAATACCATCATGCTGGTGCTTCCAGCTTTCTCCAGGTGGGCCGAGTTCCCAACACTTCACCTTGAATTCTCTGGGATAGGGAGGTAACAGCATTATGGATTTCCTCATCTTTAGGCTGGCTCACCATCTGTTTGACTTCTCAACTGTTCTTTAAGTCCATGAACTAAGTGCTGCCTTTGACAGCCCTTGGACACAATGCTGACATAAAACAGAAAAAAAGTGAAGTGACAAAACCTCCCTTTGTGACACCAGAGTATGCTCTTTCTGCATGACACATGGACTGTCGATCCATAAACACATGCTTACATATAACAAACTTTCCCTGAAAGATCATAAGAGGATTACCAGCAGTGGGAGCTTTTGCAAAGAGGAATAAGAGGTGGAAGGGAAGTGGAGATGGAGGTTCCACCATCTTAGGATTAACACTAAGAAGATTTAACCTTACACATTTAAAGAAGTTTAAGCCTAGTTAAACCAATAAAAATATCTTTGCAAAAAAAAATATATCTTTGCATTTCTGCCGTGATTTTTAGTTTAAGAGGGTTTTCTCTAGCATGTCTATGTTTTGAGAGACCCATGGCTCTAAGAAGTTGTCAGAGTGAAGTTCAGCGGATTTCCAGTCCACAGAGATGGTAATGATTGTGTCACTCCCTTTGAGCCCTCTGGGGTTTCCTAAGATCTTTTGAAGAAAGACCAGAGTCTTTGCTGCCTGTCCACTGACCACTCACCTCTCCAGACTCTTCCAGTCCGTGCAATGCCTCGATGTCCATGCTCTGGTCCTGCAGGCCAAACTCCCTCCCACCTTGAGGCATGCAGACACCACAGCTTCCCTGCTCAATGACTCTTCCTACTCCACCATTTCCTCCCCACCAGTCAAATCACTCATTTCACAGAAAGTTGCTAAAAATCACAGTGGACCAGGATGTCCACTGTATCTCATTTTCCCCCATGGAGTGCAAGCCTTGCCTACTTTTACATATTTGTGAGATTGTTTAATTCAAATGGATTTTCAATGAGCACATTATTTTAATAAAAAAGGGACAGTGTTGAGTCACTGCCTTTAAGCAAGAAACCGTAACTAGCATCCACTGACACCTGACCTATATTATAAGCAGAACCTTCAGCAATTGATGACTTCATCAGAAAGCACTTCAGCCACAACCCTGCCCTTTTGTACATTATTTTCTAAAGCAAGTACACATTCTTATCTGCACACCAGTCTACAAGTCACATAGCTTTGATTAGAACATTAATAGAATAAAATTGTGGTTGTTAGTGAACTGACAAATGTTAACAAAGCATAATAAACTCAGTAGACTAGCTACATGATGTTTCTCCTTTCTTTCGATCCTTGTATGAAATCTGAAACAGATTTGTTTTAATAACAACAAAATAACAAGGAGTAAGTTCTTGTTCTTTTAGTTAATAACCTTTCAGATACAGAACCTCAGAGCTAGTATTTGCAATTTTCAAGTGTGAGAGCTTAGGTGATCTAGACACTTGATCAGTCCCTGCAGAGTCTACTGCACGACTTGTCTCCCAAATGACCTATATCAATTCCTGTCCTGAGTTCCACGCATTTTCATTACCATGATTATAAATGGCCTGCTATAATAGGTGCTTTGCTCCTGCACTAAAAAGATGAAATGTTTTTTCCCTGGGAGCTCCCAAATGTGCAGCACCATTTCTCTAAGGCATAGGAGTAGCTGAAATGGAGACAGAGACAATCAGAAATATGGGCCATGAAAATGTGTTAACATGGGGCATAATTCAGCAAGAGAGGAGGAGGATTATCTGATGTGACATCACCTAGACAGTCAGCATCACACATATCTGGTGCCCAGAAACAGATGGTTACTTTTATGGGACACTCTGTTTAATGCCAATGACGGCCTCTGCTGAAGAGGGAACTGCCACAGAAAGATGAATGTAGTCAGCCAAGTTCATGTCCCAATGTCCTCTCTCTTGGGTTCAGTCCTAAATCCCTGGGTCTATTCCAATTCAAGCTTAAGATGAACTTTAGCTTTGGAAACTTCAGGACTCGTTGGCCACAGTAGCAGGTCACATGGGAAGACTTAGGGGGATGCAGGAGCCTGCTCCATGAATTTAACAAATGAAATGACCAATAACTCCCAGTGTCTGTTTCTTGTCAGTGGATGATTAATCAATGGCCCACAGTTGGCTCCTGAGCTACACAGTCAATACATAATGTGCTCTGTGACTCCAGATAAATCTCTCAAGATTACAGCTAATTACCTAACCCCAACAGACATACTCACACTCACACACACACACACACACACACACACACACCACCCCAATACCACTATTACTATTATTTATTAAGTAGTTACTCAGCAACAGATTCTGAGCTAGAAGCTTCAAGGAATACCACAGCAAAATACATGATTGCTGCCCTTGAGAAACTGTCTAGATTCACCTGGGACTCTTACAATCTCCTTATGAAAACCTTAGATAAAAATAATGGCAATTGGGCCCTGCCTGGTGGTGCAATGGGTTAAAGCACAATACTAAGAAGCTAAAGCCACTTTGGCATGAGTTCCATCCCTGGCCCCGGAAGTGATCCACGTGGTGCAGCAGACCTCTCCTGACCCGCCTGCTGCTCCCCTCAGCAGTGTATTTCGTAAATTTCCTGTTCTGCTCCCCACTCTGTCTCTGGTGAATCCTCTCATCACCCCTGCACCTCTGGACTGTACCCCAGTTCTGTATGCATAAATAAATAAATCTAAAATAATAAAAATAATGGCAATTAATGAACTAGCAAATAATGAGCACTTATTATTACTTGACACTGTTTGAAGTGTTTGATATGCTTTAGCTAATGTCATCCTCATTGTAACTTTATAATTCCCTAAGGCAGGTACAAATTTTATCTTCATTATATAAATAAAGAGATAAAACCAAAACACAAATAGATTACACACTATAGCACTGCCATTTACAACTTGCCTTAGGTTATAAAGTTGGTACCTAGTAGGTTTGAAGTTCAAATCCAATGTCTGGTTCTAAAGACAAGTATCTTTACCAGGCTAGAACAATCATGCCATAATTTAGTGCGTATTTCTGGTGGGATATCACCAAGCTCACTTACCTCCTATGCATTATTTTATTTAATTTTCACAATTAGTGATCAACATCATGTATGTCACAATTTGTTTTAAAGATGCATTTACTTGTTTCTTTGCATATTTCTGTAATATCAGTAATTTTGTCTTACTGATGAGTGAACACAGACATTGAGAGGCATAAAATCTTGCCAGGGTTAACATGTAGGACTCAATTCTTGATCTATTTCTTCAGTTTGAGTTGAGTTTCTTAGCACTATGTTATAGTCTAAGACAAAAAAAAATGGTTTTGAATAATACCCTAGACAAATATCCTTAAAAAAGAAATGCAGCACTGCCATTTATAAAGTGCTTTACTATGAACATTTGAATGGAGTCCCACAATAACTCGAAATGTTTGTAGCTCAAGTTGTGGGTGTCAGAGGTAAGTTCAAGTTCAGGGGCTGTTGTGGAGTCACACAGCTTTGTCCTTGCCATGGATCTTCATCATTTGCAAATTCACTTACTAACAGCCATGCTGTTATGTTCTTCCAAAGATAAATGAGATCCTCTGTTTTCTGTAATTCACAGCAGAGCCAAAGAGCTTTCTCTCTTAAATATTTTTTACTCCATCTCTGGGTCCACTTTGAACTTGGGGTGGAAGATGTCCAATGAAGGACAGATGTTTGAGGGAGCAATATTGGTGATCCGTGGTTTATACTCCAGCCCTTCTGGTGGAGGGGGGCTGCCTGGTTCTTCCCCTTCAATTTCTTCAATTCTGGTGAAGAACAGGACAGGGCTATTCAAGAGACAGATCCCTGAGCTCGTGACTTTAATGTGGCAGCCCGCTTGCAGCGACTGCTTCGGCATCTGTCAGCAGAGTGTGGTGACAATCAGACCTAATGGATCATCTGGACTCCTGGGAATGGGACTACATTTAGAAGTCACAGGGTCCAACTTTGAGATGAGGATCCCTGTTGTGGGTGAGGATTGCAAAACCCTTTATTTTATTGCAAAGTACCGACCTCTGCCAAGAACTATTGGGCAGCGGAGAGAACTTGAAGAAGCAACTTTAAAAGTTCAATCTGGTGGACACTTAGGAAGGCGCCCATAGCTCTAATGAGGATGGTGTTGGTGAAGAAAACAGTCTTCTAGCTAACCCCGAAGTCTGTAAGGATTTTCCTGAAAGGCAGGATTTTCCCCGGTGCTGGTTTGCTCTGCTCTCTCAAAAGAAGCTAGATAACAAGAAGTGGAAGGGGGAAAGTGCAAGCTTAGACCCAGAGTTGGAGAAGTTCCTTCTTCTTCAGGGTCTGTGTAAAGTTGGGAATGAATGATTGCAACCCTCCCCCCCACACACACTTTCTCGTCCCCCAATAGTGCTCTGAGAAAGTGCGGGGCATAAACAAGAGACCTTGTTATTGCAGCTCTCAGAACCCACAAAGCAGGGGTCAGACAAGAGCGGGATAAAGTGTCTGGGACGCACTCCAGACTGCACCCGGATCTTGGCTGAATCCGACGCCCAGGGTGGAGGAGACCGGCACAGCGGCTACCCAGCCTTTCCCTGCCCTCCCACCGCTGGTGGCGGCTGCCAGGACGCCGGCTGCTGGCGGGAAGGGGCCGGTAAACCTCAAAGCAGTGCGGAGACAGCGGCCGCCTTGTTCCCCGGCCGGGTGACTTTTTTTCCACCCTCCTAGAGACCAGACATCCCCGCCCCTCCCCGACCCCCCACCTCTCACAGTATTCCGCACACCCCAACCCCCCCTTCCCCCCCTCCCGGGCTCTGAAAGGGTGAACCCCGGAGCTTTACGCATCCTTCCCCCGCCCCCCCCCCCGCTGTCCGCCCTAACCCCCACCCAAGGTTCCTAAAAAAGAAAGGTGCAAAGTTTGGTCCAGATAGGGAAGGAGATCAAAGCCAAGCCGACACTTCCTGTTGCCCGGCTCTTTATAAAACGTGACGGGCGCACGAGCTGCAGAGTCGCACCGTAGCGCACCCAGCCGCCGCCGCCGCCGCCGCCTCCGAGCGCCTGAGGTTTCCCGGGACCACAATGCAGAAGCTGTTGTGGGGCGCGCTAGTGGTAAGTCCCGGGCGGCGGGGAGGCTGGGGCCCGCGCGCCCGCAGAGACCGCGCGCCCCGGCCCCGGCCCGACCTCCCGCGATTAATGGGGACAGAGGTCATCTCGCTCCGTCTCCCAGGAGAGGTTTGGGGTCAGGTTGGAGCAGGACACCTCTTTCAAGCTACTTATTTCTCTGTCCCTTTGCACTGGAAGTTTCAGCTAGGTTTATGGAGGGAAGAAAGCAGCTGCAGATCTTTTGTGTTTGGCTGGTTTCTATATTTTTTATTTTAACTGTTGTTATTCTCAGATTATTAACACCCTCGTTTAATTCATCCATTTAGCTAGACTCTATTATTGTTATATTATTGCTTATTATTGGCTGTTAAGTGGTCTCTTAGGATCAAAAAGTTGGCTGATGTCAGTCTTAAAACTTAGAATAAAATTTGGCAAGTATGATATGATACATCATTAAATACATTGCTTACTTGTGTAGTATGGAAGTTTTGAATAATTAGTACCAAAAATAGATCTCAGACACATCTATTTCCTATCTATGAAGTTTAACAATTTAATGAATTATTATTATTAAGATGGGTTATTCCAATTCACAACTTAAATATACCGTGAAAAAGTATTAGTGGGCTAAAATAGGTTATATTCTAGTATATATCACAACATAGAGTGGAAAGTTATTTTTAACATACTATTTGCAAAAGAAAGGAAACTCTGACATAGCTTAGCTTCTTTTTTCTTTTTAATTTGGATTTTCACTGATCAAATTAATAAGATTTGTGGGTAGATTATTTTATGAACAATTATTTCTAATGTATTTATTTCCTCCAATGATTTATATCACTGGAGAGTGGATTGCACTCGTATGTGAATGATACATTCATGAAAGGGTAGGAAAACCCATATTTAAATCACATATATGTTTTGAGCATGTTGGAATAAAGATTTGAATTTCTAATCACCCCCATAAATAGTGATTAGAAGGCTAAAAAGTCTTCAAGTTAGTTCTCAGGATAAACAAACATAAATAAGTTTAACAAATACCAAAGTAACCAAAGAAAACTAGGTTGGAAAGTTTCTCAAAGTGAACATCAGTGAGTTAATACTCAGAGCAAGAAATAACTCCATCGCCAGCATGGGAAGTTCCCCTAGTCTCCCTCATTACTATGTCCTTGGCCAAAGTAATCAATATTCTGACATCTAATACCATAAACGAAGCTTGCATATATTTGAGCTTTATATAAATAGACTTTATATACTTTTCTGCTTCTGGTTTCTTTCACTTAGATTCTGTTGTGAAATCATCTTCCCTGTTGAATGTATAATAGTTCATCAATTTTTGTTGTTGTATAGTATTTCACTGCATAACTATACCATACTTGACTTGATCATTTTAGTTTTTGACTAGCTAATCATGATCTGGAGGTATGCAGTCTTCCCAATCCTTTGTATTTAATGAGAGATTTAATTATTAATAAATATAATATTGGTGACCTAAATTTCTGAACTTCCATTAAATAATATGTGTACCCAATAATAAATGCTCCTAGATAACTAATCAAATGTTTTTGAACTGTGGTCTGTATAGGGTACTAGGTATACACATACCCAATACTACTGATTATAGATGGTGGCACATTATCAGAAGAGAAGATGTTATCATCTTCTTGAACATAAGGAAACACTAAGTAGGAAAGATTTCACCTTTTCAATAGTTTCTGAGATTGACTTCATTATATAAATAACTCGACACTTTGTACTTACACACAAAGAGCCTAGATTTCTTTTGTAAATGCAGACGCTCAGTTCTAGAAAATGGAAGCACCACAGTTTCTTTGTATAATCAGCATCCCACTAGTCAATAGGGACAGAGTGGAGAAAAAGATGGACACCGTTCTTGTCCTGACAGACTTGTAGCCTACTGGGGAAGGCAGATATTGAACAAGCAACTGTATGCACAGTGAAAGCCACAAAAGATTAAGTACTTAATGACTTGGTTTCATGAAAGATCTTGCGCTCTGGGACCATTTCAGGGAAGCTGTAGTGAAGTGGTTAACAATATTGAACCAAAATTCAAATACTACTACTTTAATTTCTTAAATGACTATATGAAACTTAGATCTCTCTTAAGATTTAGTTTTCTCTCCTATAAAATACTCACATTTGCCAGATGCTCCATGTTAACTCTAGCTTCTCGCATCCTGTCATGAATAATATTCCAGCAATCTAGAAGAAATGCATTGTGGGACTGAATTGCTGACAGTTCTCGAAGGAGAGGGGGCCATTAACTATTACCTCGAAGGTTTCATTGTTGGAAATAAAATCCAGGAGTCTGAAACCTAAAAAGTGGAGAAGGTAAAATTGTGTGACAATGTAAAATTCTAGATGCCCCCCTTGAGAGCAGAGAACACGCTGGTAGGCAAGCAGTGAAGGGGTGTGGTCACTAAGATCAAGCTCTTTTGGGGTGTTCATCTGTGTATTGCTGTGGGACCTGTTTTATGAGGTGAGATAGGGCATTACCAAGTCATGCCCTAGTAGCTTCACTGTTACGCAGGAACCACCTGAGCCGGAACATCCTGACCAAGGTCTCCATTTTAATTGGTGACTGAAACTTCCCAACACATAGTGCTGCAACCATCTCTTATACTTCTCAACACTAAACTCGGAATTTGTGTTCTGGTGCCAGGACTTGGAGTGAGGATTAAGGGAAATTAGATGCATTTTCTTGGGACAAACACCCCATCTGTCTATCCTCCTTAACAATAATGCTTTTTCTGATTTGTGTTGTTGTTGTTTAGTTTGGTTTTCTTCTTCTCTCCCAGTGGTTGAGTGTGTACTTGTCTGGCTTGTTTTGTTGTTTTTTTGAAAAGCATGATCACTGGGAAGTTCCTAGGAGAATATGACATATTCTCAGTCCAAAACAGTCCTGTTCTCTGTCACTAGCAATCTCTGGCCTCTCATCTAGCAACCTTCTGCACAGTACCTAATTTCAATGGACTCTTTAATTTTACTTCTTAGTCTAAAACCACGGTTGTCAAATTCTTTTGGTTGGGGAAGAAAGCATTTTGCACCAGATGTTTTATCCATTTGGTTATAGAAGACCTGTGGTCCCATCATCACAGGGTTACAAAACACACACAGATATTCCCGCTCTCTTGACCATGGACATGTCTGCTGGACTGTGCTCTAAGCAGCCCTCAGCTCACTGCCTGCACCTTCCCCTTTCCTCAAAGCTTTCGGAGTATTATTTTCTTTAGTAGCTCATTAACTAAAAGCATTTCCATCACCCTGAATTTCTCCATTGCAGCCCTCCCCAAAACAACTTTATGGAAAAGAAAGAGTGATTATTGGGTTATTATATTATAGTTACATATAGTATTACAATTATATTTTATAAAAAATTGTTATGGCCCTCTCTGGTGGCGCAGCGGGTTAAAGCGCAGCACTGAGAATCTAAAGCCACTTCCGCATGAGTTCGATTCCCGCCTGCCCGGGAGGTGACCACATGGTGTGGCAGACCTCTCTTGACCCGCCTGCTGCTCCCCTCAGCAGTGTACTTTGTAGATCTGCCTGTTCTGCTCCCCACTCTGTTTCTGGTGAAGCCTCTCTCTG